TGAGTAAGCCAGACATTAAAAGCAACCATTTGAATCCTATTCCTAAAGCAATTGCAAATCAGCATTTTTTGATTTTTTCCAAATTCATTCCATATGTTTTGCTTTACAATTGCTATGATTTTTAGTCAGAGATATGAAATATGCAAGTAAATCTTATCATTAGTTCTTCTTCAAAAGGAAATTGCATCTTGTGACTTAGTAGACTGATGATGATATCCATTTTGTAGATTCATCAACATGTGGTTGGCCTTTAATTTCTGAATTTTAAAGTTTCAGACTTATCTTTAAGTTTTCTTGGTGTTTAAATTTACTATCATTGCTAAACATTTTGTCAACTTTTTTGATATACTGCATTGCTCCTGTTGAATGTTTTTTGTCTACGTTTTATAACTTAAGAATTCTTATACCATCTACATCTATCCTACTTATGCTGAAAAATAGGCAATAAGAACTTCATTTTATAGCTTATGTTTTGAAAAAAAAACACAGGAAACTGTTTTATCAGGGAGCCCAAACACCCAGCATAGCCAACTACTGAAATGATTTTGTTAATTCTGTATAATGAGCTCAATTCAAAGCAATCACCACTGGTATGAATGAGTACTACAGGAAAAGGGAGTATCAAATTCCAGTTGGGTATGGGTTCTGCAAAAAAAAGCCTAATACTCTGTGGTCCTCCCGCTGAGTTTCTCATTTGGTCAACAGAAAGCTGTTTTCCCTATGAGATGTTTTGTAGGGAAACCACCAAGCTGTCTTTGGTACTATTAAAGCTTCAATGGCCTAGCAAGATCTTTGGGCCCTTGTGTCCATTGTCCTTATGACCTCATCACCCTCAGACTTTAAGAAGCCACCAGCAGAACAAAGGATGGGATGTGTAACAAATGGAAAAGAAACTCAATTGTCCTGAAAGATGAATTTGTAGTGTCAGCAAATGCATATTAAGAAGGTAAAGTCCAACAGCTCTTAAGGAGAATTATATTTCTCCAGAAGCTGCAGCAAGAGGTACAGCTCAACAAAGGAAAACCATAGGACCGAATAGGCAACTAGTGCTCAGACCAAAGAGCTCACTCCCACTCCAACACCATGTCCTCTGAAAAGAAACAAAAATACAGTGATCATCAACCAAATGACTAAACAGTCTTCCTATTGATTAGCTATACATTAATTGAGGAACTGTTGGTTGACAGGCACTGATTCTCTAGAATACTGGGCATAAGGATGTTGCAGAAATCTAGATGATGGGTCCCACAAATGTGAGAATATGCCGCAAGATCCTGCCTATCACAGCAATCAGGATTCACCCCTGATTCATACTTCAATTTGGCTAAAACAGGATGGGATGATTGCTTTTGTCTGTTTACTGAAAAATGAGTTTAGAAAGGCAAGCCCACTGAAATTGGAAAAAGCTGTGAACAGAGTTGTGTCTGAGGAACATGACTAATTTAAGGCACGGTTTGTTCAAATGCATCATGATTTGAACTGGTTTTCATTATAGATTAGTGAACTGCTGGTCAGGTACTGTCTACAATGGCTGTGCATACCTACAACGGTTTAGGTATTTCATATTGAATTATGCTGTATATTTCAATTCCAAGTTTATTTTATTTTACAAGGTTATTTTATTTATTGTAAGCATTTTGAAATTGATTTTCTTTTTTGTTTTCTTTCTTGTGCAATACCAACAATGGTGCTGTGTTTTAAACTTACACAATTGGAATATAGATATGTGTTTTCTTAGTAAAATGGTAATTTATCCCAAAAAAGTGTACATAGATCTAAAATTTGGTGCTATGTGTATATCTTGAGCTTTTAATTTGTTGAATTTTCTAAAAGCTTACAACTTATCTGCCACTCATATTAATTTACTTGAATTTGTCAAAAAGCTAAACATTTTGTATGTTTTCAAAGATTATTTTTTCATATTAATAGGTGGTTTATCTGTTGCCTCTTTGCTAATTTAAAAATATTTATTTTATCATTTTAATGTTTTCATGGCCTTTTTTGCTGATGATAATCAATTTTTTTTGTTTTTGAGTTGTTCCTTTCATAGACATAAAAAGACAATTCATTTTCTTGTTTTATTACCCGTTCATTTGTATTCTATGAAATATGTCATGCATACTTTTTTACAAATTGTATATTTAGAAATCTTTCTAAATTTCATTAAGGCTTGACTGGTTAATTCATATTTCAAGAATTTGTATTTATTCAGGTAATTTGATGGGATGGGGAAATATTATATGATGCATATTACAAAGCGGATTTGTCACAGTGACACAAGCTCATTTTTGATAACTGGGAAATGTGACTAAATTTGACATAACTAGAGAAACAGGGCTGTGTTCACATGGTACAAGCCTTTCTCACCCTACTCTATTATTTACCTTCAGATACTTTTTCCTGCCTCAGCTCTGTACACATGATGTGCAACAAAGGGCAGCAAGAAATGCCCGGTCCAGCTAATTTAACAACAAATGAAGTGGAGCTTTGGCAGTTGCCCAATTCCTTTAATAAAAAGAAAGTAAATAATTTGGGCCCCAAAGTAGGTTGGGAAGTGTTCCTCTAAATGACTTGGTGGTTGCCAAATCCCTTGTACCATTTTATTCTGTTCCAAAACATGTGTTTATTTCCACATAGATGTTAGTGATGTTCAAAGCAGGGGAGAAGAATGATTCAAATTCATGAATTACCTCTTGTTTGCACTCCGGAAAACAACGTACATGTTTAAATACAAAATAATTATGAGCCATGATGACAATTAATATTAAAACGGTGTTCCATATGCAAGTATGTCTGAATTCCAATCTTACATTTTATAACAAACTCAAAACACTTTCAGACAGAAGTCTTTCTATGGAAAGATTAAAGTATGACTTCAATTAATATTTATGGCCTTTGGAATCCAAAGAAAAATGGAAGAATAATTCATGAATTTGTTCATTGTGCTTTCCAACTGAAGACATTAACCATTACGTCTAACCATAACAGAAATACAGCCAGTTTTAACCTTTTAGATGTTTTACTTTGTGATCAAAGTAACCCTATGTTTATTTCCATATTTTATGATATTGTTTAAACTTTAAAATTTTATTCACTTAAAGAACATAAGCAGTTATATTAAAATATGTTGTCTGTTAAAGTTATCATTTGATAGTTGGTTTATAAAGTAATTTTTATGAATCTGTTTTATGAGTTAAGTAAGGTTTAGCCTTTCTGCAGTCTCTCTCATCTGTTGGGAACCTGTGATATACCTCCATTTGTCCACAAGATGGTGTTTAAAGCAATTTGTTCAAAAGAACTGAGTAACAGAAATAAAAGGTTACAAACAGTTTAGTGGACAACTAAATCAAACTCTTGCCTTTGCACTTTTTTTTTTTTTTACTTCTGTAGATAATTTTTGTTAATTTGTTTTGTTAATTTATGTTTCTTCTAATTTTAAGCATCTATATGAAACAGGCACAATACCCTTTGGTTTGTTGACTGTTTTGATTTTATTTATTCGGTGGATATATACGTATTTACATGCTCACTTAAGATGAAGATTTACTATTCATAACTGTTTATACACCACTCTCATATTTTAGTGATCGATATATAAACATCTAAATAATTATCCTGGCTTTTAGACAGGATAGATACTCTCTTTCAACAGACAAGAAAAAAAAGATTTAGCTTATCACAAGAAGTAGACAATTTATAAAATTACACAATGTCTAAACTCTATATTATTCAGTGTACTTAAAATTTTACAATTAGATTTGTATAATGTTTATATTTTTCTAGAACACATCACTATTTACAAAAGTACGGTTAGGAACACTTTTTTCAAAGTACCATTTTTATTTTCATAACAATAATACACTGAGATTGAGAATTTCTCTGTTAAGTGTTTTGCTGAAGTTGTTTTAATAAATACTGAGAATAGTTTTGCAAATTTGTCCATCGCTCCTCTTAAAGTATTTTTCACACTTGTCTGTATCCACCTTCTGAAGACACCCAAGTGTTTACTGTCATGGTTTCCCAGTGTTATTTCTTAATACTTGAGTGTTGATGCATTTTGCACTCTCCCCATCTCTGCTCATAAGGATTTTGCAGGCTTTAAAGAGGAAGAGGTGCAGAAAACATTTGAATTTGTATCTTGTATGCCTACGTAATTCAAAGTGACTTAGTCCATTGAACTGTGTTTATTAGCTGGCTGGTAAAGGTAGCATTAATTATGTTAAATTTGTTCAATTACTAAACGTCTCAGGCAATAGGACAAATGACTGTTGTCATTTTTATTGTGTGGCATACCTGGAGCTATAGTCCAAATGTTTTACTCAACAAAATCATGGCAGAGTAACTGATCAATTTGGTTAAATTAAATGAAAACACAAGTGAATACAGAAAAAACTCATTCAGATAAATAGACCCATCACAGCAAGAATTTGCCTGAAAGATAAGACAAGCTTGTAAGACCAAAGCTAAGTCTAAGAAAATCTAAGTGGAAAAAAAATTGCAAGTTCAGATCCAATGGTGAGTGATGTGGTACAACTCGAGGACTTAGCTACTTGCTTCATGAATTTGTCACAAGTGAATACTAATAAAGTGGGAGGTTTCGCTAAATGAGGAGGTAAATAAGATTTCAGTTTATCAGAAGTGTATGTATTGTGTGACCATACTAAGCTCCTTGATGTAAGTAAAGTTGCTAGCTATTTTACAACTTTTTATTATTTTATTGTGTTATGTAAAGTACATTTTGGGGATAAATGTTTTTCAGCACATCAATGTCTTTAAATTAAATTCAGGTTGTATCGGGCATATTTTACAACTTTTTTTTTTTTTTTTTTTGAGACAGTGTCTTGCTCTGTCACCCAGGCTGGAGTGCAGTGGTACAATCTTGGCTCACTGCAACCTCCGCCTCCCAGGTGCAAGCAATTCTCTGCCTCAGCCTTCCAAATAGCTGGGATTACAGCTGTCCGCCATCATGCCCCGCTAATTTTTTTGTATTTTTAATAAAGATGGGCTTTCACCATGTTGTCCAGGCTAGTCCTGACTTGTGATCCACTTGCCTTGGCCTCCCAAAGCGCTGGGATTACAGGCGTGAGCCACAGTGTCCAGCCAACTTCTTTATTTTTAAATAGCATTTAGGATGTGTTTGCCCCTATTTTGTTTGTTCTCTATCTTACCTCATCAAACTCTTTAAGGTTTTTTTGTTTTTGTTTTTGTTTTTTTTTCACTCTTTAAGGTTTAATTGAATATACTCACGTTAAGTGCAATGACACTAGTTTTATTCTAAATCCCACATGTACATAATGCTTTGAGGCCTTGATTCTTACGTGTTCATTAAGCATAATGAGCTTGTCACCTATCTCAGCAATAAAGAATTTGTCCCTATGTTAGGGAAATCTAAGGTGCAATTATTAAGGCCATATCTACTCTTCATCACTCCTGGAGGCTGAAGCTCCATGCTTCAGTTCGTTCTGTTAGGTGTCAGCCACAGAGATGCTCCAGAAGCACTCTAGGCTAACCACAAGCCCCACCGGAGTCCAAGGAAGTTTAATTGGTCTATTGCAGGGTTCATGTTTATACCATAATTATAGTTTGGTTTGTCACATGAATCATCGCTCAGCTTGAAATAATTAAGTTTATCACCCATCTGACAGTTCATAAAAAGCCTAGTTTAATTATTTCAGATGAGAATTATACACAGAAACAAAAGCCAGAGAGCAAGCAGTCCCTTGGGACTTTTGTCCCCCAGAGTGATCATCTCCCTAAAATCATTTGAGGCTTTTTGCTCTAGAGGTCCTTGAGGGAGATCAGAAATAACACAATTAACTTTTCTCATCAGTAGAAGCTCTGGCATCGTGAGTGATAAGACGATAGGCAATAAGTAGTTGAATACATAGCAGGTTTTCTTAACAGAAATTAATTACATCAAAACATGCTAGAGGATTTATATGTTTACCTATACTGGGTAATAACTTACATAGATCTTAACTATTCCTATCTTCAGGCCCCCTTCGGATAAATTAACTAGGTGCTCTCTAAAGAATATTGTCTTTTCACACACACATTTTCAACTTTGAGACAAAATGGAATTTCAAATATATCTCAGAAGGAGAGGTAGTTTGTTGGAGACAATTTCCCTCACTTGTTCTTTCTCCAGCTACACTTCAATAACTTGGAGTCAAGACTAATTTGTGAAGGCATCTTAAGCAGAAAGTTAGCATGAATTGCCGTTTATTAAGACTAAAAGTAATTTTCAGTTAGCATCCTCTTCCTGAAACCCAGGTCTATCAAATATGTTACACTCCCTCTTGTTCATTATTAAAAGAGCATTTGAGCATGTGTATTTACAGACATTACTGCAGTCAGCCCATTTTGATTTAAATAGTTCCTGAGCCATAGGTAGTTAATACAGCCATGTCCTGGATCACAACTCACTAAAAAAGGCTACACAATTGAAAAGTATTTGACTCTGTAAAAAAGGACTTGACCTGTGTTTATTGAACACAAGTATTCTTTTTTAAAAACATATTTAAAACCATTTATGTCTGTTGCCCCTCTATAAACAGCAAGATTGCTAGTTTGCTACTATTTTTTCCTTAATACTGAGTTTTCACTCGTTTTGCCAGGCTACCAGCAAATATTTTTAAGTAGTTTTCTTTATATTTGGAAATCACTGTTTCTACTGGTTTTTCACCTATGTTGGTTTACTTCATTTATTTTAGAGACAGGGTCTTGTTCTGTCACCCAGGCTAGCATGCAGTGGTGTGATCATAGCTCACCACAGCTTCAAACTCCTGGTCTCAAGTGATCCTCCAACCTCAGCCTCCCGAGCAGATGGGACTGCAGGCACTCAATACCATGCCTGGCTAATTTTTAAACTTGTTTTTATTTTTGTAGAGTCGGGAGACTCAGTCTTGCCCAGGCTGGTCTCAAACTCCTGGGCTCAAGCTGTCCTCCCACCTTGGCTTCCCAAAGTGTTGGGATTACAGGTGTGAGCCACCATGACTGGCCTTGGCTTACTTTTAAACTCAGAGACTATTTCTCAGAAACACTATAATCACCAAAAAATTTTAAAAATACAGTAGAGGTGATCTTCTAAAGCAGGAATTTATATTAAGCTTATTTCAGGTGGCAGATAAATCAGATTTTACTAATGATGTTTGAGAATAACAGTATTTGTTCAGTCAGTTTGAAACATAAAGTATCCATACATAATCAGATCCATCACCTATCCAGATATCACTACACATTCATACTCTTCTGCTGTGCAGAAGCCAATTATCCAAAACCATGCCAGTGAATTTATGTGCTCAGTCTAGGAAGTGATTTCCATAGTTCGTAACCAACCTGTCAGGTATTTGGGTTGAAAATCATATCATACTGCCATAGACACACTGGCTAGAAATAAATCAAAAATTATTTGCCCTTAATTAACATGCCAGGTTAGAACCAACTTTAATTATTTACACTTTCCTCTCTCAGTGAGTGCTCTAGTTGCCACTTCATCCAACTTTCAAAAATATCTCAGAGAGGATTTGAGATTTCTGTTTTGCCAGAGAGACATACTTGGTCAGGTTCAACATTTGTCAACTCTCTTTCATTAAGGGAATTTGCTAGGCGCTTTTCCTTGCAATTTCTATGTCAAGTATCTACTGCTTCTGTAAACTACTTCACTTAACTGAAATTTATAATGA